ACTGCCCCCCTTACACACACATTGCCCCACACACTGCCCCCCATACGCACACTCTGCCCCCCCCCATACACATACACTCTACACACATACACTATCCCCATACACACACACTGTATGGACTCAGCAGTCTGTGTGTGTGTGTGTGTATGGACTCAGCAGTCTGTGTGTGTATGGACTCAGCAGTCTGTGCATGTGTGTATGGACTCAGCAGTCTGTGTGTATGGACTCAGCAGTCTGTGTGTGTGTGTTTGTATGGACTCAGCAGTTTGTGTGTGTATGGACTCAGCAGTTTGTGTGTGTGTGTGTGTATAGACTCAGCAGAGTCTGTGTGTGTGTACGGACTCAGCAGAGTCTGTGTGTGTGTACGGACTCAGCAGTCTGTGTGTGTGTATGGACTCAGCAGTCTGTGTGTGTGTGTATAGACTCAGCAGAGTCTGTGTGTGTGTATGGACTCAGCAGAGTCTGTGTGTGTGTATGGACTCAGCAGTCTGTGTGTGTGTGTATGGACTCAGCAGTATGTGTGTGTGTGTGTGTGTATGGACTCAGCAGTCTGTGTGTGTGTGGACTCAGCAGTATGTGTGTGTGTGTGTGCGTGTATGGACTCAGCAGTCTGTGTGTGTGTGCGTGTATGGACTCAGCAGTCTGTGTGTGTGTGTGGACTCAGCAGTCTGTGTGTGTGTGTGTGGACTCCGCAGTCTATCAATAATTAAAATTCCTGTAAGTTGTTGTGTAGGAAGGGCCCCAGTGCATTGCTTTGCCCAGGGGCCCTTAACTCTGTTAAAATGGTACTGCTTGTGTGTGTCAGTGAGCTTCTATTTAGTGAGCATGTGTGTGTCAGTTAGCTTGTCTTTAGTGAGCTTGTGTGTGTGTCCCTGAACTTCTTTGTAGTGAGCCTTCTGTTTATACAAGTGAGTGTCTGTAGTAAGCTTGTGTGTGAGTCAGAGTTTTGTCTGTCAGTAAGCCTGTTTGCGTGCTTACTATAATATATATATATATTTTGACTTGTAGGAATGGCATACTTTTTTTTTCAGGGCTGCTTTAGATTCCCAGGGATTCCCAGTTTGGCTCTGCCAGCGAGTGCACTTTACCGCTGAATAATCTGTGTGAGCTGCCGCACACTTTAGCCCTGTTACACGCGTCTGGGAGCTGCTGTTGACAGGTACCAGTAGTCTAGAGATTGGGGTATATGCTCAGCTATCTGTATAATACAGATCTGTGTGTATAAAATATCCCGGGATAGTCAGTGCTTCCTGTATAGTGCTGCTCTCCCAATTTATTATACACACAACCCTGTATTATACAGAGAGCACTGACTGTCCAGGGATATTATACCCAGACAGTAATTGATAGCTGTGCTGCAAAATGTCCTTGGGAATTTTTTTTCAAATGTTGGCAACTATGGCACTGTATCAAGGATAATGTGTTTGTTTTTTTAATAATCCCTGGTGAAAATCATGATTCCTCCACCAGGTATTAAAAAAACAAAACACATTGTGTCGGGGGCGTGGCTTAACATGTGACAGGGGCGGGGTCAAACTGCGGCGAGGGCGGGGTTAAATGTGCCCCCCTACTTTTGTCACTGGCCCTCCATGTGCCCCCCCGAAAAATGAATCCTAGAGACGCCACTGGTTCTTGGCGTATAGGGATGAGACTTCTGCTGGTAGTTGAATCCCCAGGTATGATATTGCCGAGCGGCATATCCTGAATGGGAATGTTTGTCTTATCCTCTCTAAGCTCATGGAGTCTATTTGTATAGGGAGTAGTTCGGATTTAGTTAGGTTGAGCTTGTATCCTGAGATTTCGGAGTATTCTTGTACTATATCTAGAAAGGGGCTTAGTGATTGTTATGGATTGGTCAGCGTCAGTAGGATATCGTCGGCATGTGCCGAGACCTTGAATGTTTCCCCCCGTACTGTGATCCCCCCCACCCTGCCATTGGAATGCACTACCTGGAGCAGGGGTTCCAGGGAGAGGGCGAATAGCAGGGGTGATAAAGGACATCCCTGGCGTGTGCCATTGGTAATGGGGAATCGTGGGGGTGGTATGTTGGGCAGTAGGAGTGCTCCTTGGGGGGCATGGTAGACTGCATGTAAGAATGAGATGAATTCTGGCGGTAGGCCTATGTGTGTTAGGGTTTGATGTAAGAACGGCCATGTTAGGCGATCGAAGGCCTTTTCAGTGTCGAGTGATATGACTGCTGTTGGGATTCGTCTATGTTTGGCAAGCCATATGAGGTCTATGGCCCGTCGAGTGTTATCTGCGGCCTGTCTGTGGGGAATAAATGCCACCTGGTCCGGGTGTATGAGTGATCCTAGGTGCGGGTTCAGCCTATTTGCCATGACCTTGGTCATGATTTTGAGGTCGACGTTGAGTAGTGAGATCGGCCTACAGTGGGCAGGTTCTAATTGATCTTTTCCTGGTTTGGGTAAGAGACAGATATGTGCGCTAGTCATTTCAGATGGGAGAGTTTCCCCCCCTCAGTGTTGCGTTGAATACGTTGCAGAGGTGGGGAAGTAGGAGAGAGCTAAATTCTTAAGGCTATTCATAAGGCTGAATAGCCGTCAGGCCCTGGGCTCTTGTTGGGTTTGAAGGATCTAAGTGCCAGTGTCATCTCCTCCACTGTGACCTCTTGTCCCATTGCGGCTTTAGCCTTGTGGGTCATGGAGGGGAGTGTCGCATTCTGTAGGAACTTGTCCATGCGGGTGTGGAGGGACTCTACGTTGTTGTGGGTGCGTATATAGGTAATGTCTGAGAGGGGGCAGCTGGATTTCAAAATGATTGCGACCCCCTTTGTTTTGGAGTGTGGGGAGGGAGCCATGTAACTTTTCTTATGGTACCTGTTTGTGAGGGGGAAAGCGCGGCGGGTCGTGAAGTGGGTTTCCTGTATAAGGAGGATGTCTATGTTTTGTTTGTGTGCCCATCTTAGTATGCTATGTCTCTTAGTGGGTGAGTTTAGCCCTTTTGCGTTAATGGACATGCAGCGTAAGTTCATCGGCATTATGTCAGTGCTGTGCTCGTGTGGTTTAGGAGTGATAGGTGTGGGTGTATATGGGTTGTGTGCCTGGGCGGTCCTAGGCTGTTGGTCTGCGGGGGGGGGGTGTCAGTGGCCTCGTCCGGGGGAAAAGGAGGAAGGGAGGGTTGACAGGTAAGGGCTGTACGGAGGAGGCAAGATAGGGTGGGCTACTGGACTTATCTAGTGGCCAGTAGGAAATGGGGATGAGCGTCTGGCCGCTCCGTGGGTAGGGGTTGGGGTTGGCGTTCTCTCCATCAGAGTCGCCAGCAGGCTTTCTCGATACTGGTATGTATACCCTTGTGGGTAATGGTTGGTCTTTATCTCATGTGTCTCTGTCAGCTATATTGTCTCTCACCTTGTGTTTTGGTTCGCTTGTAGTGGGTATGTAGTGCCGTCTGTTCGTGGTTTGGCAGGTTGGACGTCACAGAAGCATCTGTCTGGTCCGCTATCATTGTCGTCCCTTGTGTGTGGTTAGGGGCCGCTGTCCGTGGTTTGGTCTGTGTGTAGTCCAGAAAGGTGGGTGCGAAACAAGAAACAGAACAATTGAACAATCGAGTAAAAAACATAACATTAAAAACATGAGCATACCATAACTTGTATTGACTTTATAGTTTCTGAATCCTAGTCGTTAGCGGGTTATAGAAGTGGGGAAACTGGTTTGCAGGAGTGATATAAAAGAAGAATAAAAATTACAATCAAATGGTAAATAGCAGCAAACGCGTTTCGGCTTGGTAGCCTTCTTCCACTCCTTTGGTTATTTCAGCTTGGGTAAGTGGATACCTCTTTTTATATTACTTGCTATTGGGTTCCACTCCCTTATAACCAGGAATTTGTTAATTATTTTATTCTCAAATAAATATATACATTTTTTACCACGGAATTTTTCCATTTATTATTTGGAATTTCGTCAGCCTGAATTGGCACCCTTGAGCCTGCTATACAGAGCCTGGTACGGCTCTGTTAAATGTGAGTGGTTGTCCACCTTTTATTTAATATACATTTGTATTATACAGTATACAATATGTTATGTTATGCATTTATATTTTGTAGATAATATTCTGCCATCCTTCAACGTTCAGGTTGTACTTTATGGTTGTTTTCTACCACTTCACTTGTTTTTGGGACTATCCCTTTTTATGTGGTTTTGATATACATTTTTTTTCTATATTTACTCTTATTTAGTGTCTGGGAAACACTGCTTTATCAACCACTGTATTATATTCATCATACTTCCATTCTGTGAAGCGCCTACTCACTATCCTCTATTTTTGTGTTTCCTGAAATTATTGTGTTAAAATAATCAGGCGGGTTATTTAAAGGAATGAATTTATACAATGATTTAAGGAAACATGACGGTTTTCCTTCAAACGGAGATTAGAGGCAGCGAGCTGAGGTTATTCCCCGAGCCTTTAATTTGTCAGGAATAATAAGAGTAGATGTTTATAAACAGCACGGCAGGTACGTGGCGCACATCATGCCCGTCAGAACAGTTGAACTAACAGTGAACTTAATGCTTTAATGAGATTTATCTGAACTATATGTCCCTCAATCTCTGCTACACATACTCTGAGATTCTCCCCTCCTGGTGGCTCAGATCAGATAAAAAGCTGATAATAGTGAAAGGAACTGTGGTGTTTGGATAAACTTCTAAGGTGAGCTTGGAGGATGGGCTGAGACCTGAAGCTGAAGATGAAGCAGAGGAGGAAATGAGCCCAATGTGACATCTCCCAGTGATGAATGATGAGGGCAGATTGTTTACTTTGCTAATTCATTCTTAAATGTTGCACTTCTGCTTCAACTGTACCGACATTCTGCGTCCTCATCTGTATGCTTATGTCAAACCTGTTAACTCACTGAGTGCTGGCGTTCTAGCATTTTAACTCTTTCACTACTAATGATGAGAGCAATGCATCGCTCAATCATCAGATGCTCAATTATTTGGGAGAGGTTAAAAAAATAGGTTTTGTGCAGCTTTAACCCCTTAAGGACACATGACATGTATAACATGTCATGATTCCCTTTTATTCCAGAGGTTTGGTCCTTAAGGGTTTAAATTAGATTTTGAAAGATTTAAAGGCATTAATATGTAATATTATTTTTACAAGAATAAAATCATCTCTCTGGCAGTGATACGGTTAAATAAATGCTCAAAGAAAAATAACAATACAATCCTACAGACACACTAACCCCAGATATATGGGTGGCCTAGCGTATAGCTCAATGGATTGCTGCACTCACACATGTGTGGTACTCATAAAACTGTATTAATTCAGGGATGGCACTCTAAGAAGCGTGTCTAGTAAATATGAAACAGTTAATAAAGAAAAATATATATTTTTAAAAAACAAAAATGTAATGTCTCTACGTGTTTTCGTAATGATTAAACATACACAAACCATCTGCCATTAGCTACTTTCAGAGCTTGCTGGCTAGCTGGCTAGGCATGGTACGGAACTTGGTTATTTACGACAGTGAGAATTCAAGGTTTATTTCAAATTTGAGGTCAAAGAAGACAAACTGGCAGCATAGCTGATTTAGATAATTATTTCAATTCCGCGATTCTGACTTTTAAAATCACTTCAGTAAAAACCCTGTTAATCCACAACAGCTGGAGAGTGCCATATTGTACCCATTGCTGGCTGGCTGTGATGAGCCTTACTACTGTCCATAGCTTGCTTGAGGATACCTAATCATTTTTATAAAAAGTCTATCAAGGCTTCTGATCCTCTATTCATCCTTCTAAAAATTAATCATTAAGCTCTGGTTAATCTGGTTTCAAACAATGGTACCACGCTCAGATTCCTGTACATTCTGCTGGAGGGAAACACATTCATTACGTCGATTTACATGGAGTTCTCTGTGTTTTCAGGAAATGAAAACTAATTTCTGGAGGGCACGATTCCCCAGTGAATGTTCACAGACAGTTATACAGGATTCCCATTCTAAGATCTGGATGAAAAGCAATGTGAGCTTGCTAGGTGAAAGTTGCAACAGTCACTTTGCACGTGGGAAGAGTACGTGCTTTACTCACTACAGAAAACTCTAAATACACCTACCTCTGCTACACCAATACCTTCCTAAATACTCTGTGTGCACAAGGCATCTTTACTCAAGATTTCTGGGCTCTGAGCAGACAAGCAAGGGATCACAAAGACATTTCATGCATATGAAAATGTGTTTACTTAAATTAAAATCAAAGCACCGATAATAATAAAAGTTCAGTAGAACACAGCACTGTTATAAAGTGTCAGGTTTCGCATGCATCCTTTATCGTAATGATTCTCTATGAGAAGTAATGTAGGCGGTTACACCATAACTAGTGATGTCCCGAACTGTTCGCTGAACGGTTCGCCGCGAACGGTTCGCCGCGGACTCCAGTCAGCAGACACATTCCAGCCAATCAGCAGCAGACCCTCCCTCCCAGACCATCCCACCTCCTGGACAGCATCCATTTTGAAACTGAATTCTTAGTGAGCTGTCCAGGAGGTGGGAGGGTCTGGGAGGAAGGGTCTGCTGCTGATTGGCTGGAATGTGTCTGCTGACTGGAGTCCACGGCGAACCGTTCGTGGCGAACCGTTCGCAAACCGTTCAGGACATCACTAACCATAACCTTATAGCTGCAGTTACAATACACTGTGTGCGGGGATAGAGGGGACCTCCTTACACCATAACCTTATAGCTGCAGTTATAATACACTGTGTGCGGGGAGACAGGGGGCCTCCTTACACCATAACCTTATAGCTGCAGTTATAATACACGGTGTGCGAGGAGACACGGGACCTCCTTACACCATAACCTTATAGCCGTAGTTAAAATACACTGTGTGCGGTGAGACAGGGGACCTCCTTACACCATAACCTTATAGCTGCAGTTATAATACACTGTGTGCTGGGAGACAGGGGACCTCCTTACACCATAACCTTATAGCTGCAGTTATAATACACTGTGTGCTGGGAGACAGGGGACCTCCTTACACCATAACCTTATAGCTGCAGTTATAATACACTGTGTGTGGGGAGACAGGGGATCTCCTTACACCTTATAGCTGCAGGTATAATACACTGTGTGCTGGGAGACAGGGGACCTCCTTACACCATAACCTTATAGCTGCAGTTATAATACACTGTGTGCGGGGAGACAGGGGACCTCCTTACACTATAACATTATAGCTGCAGTTATAATACACTGTGTGCGGGGAGACAGGGACCTCCTTACACCATAACCTTATAGCTGCAGTTATAATACACTGTGTGCGGGGAGACAGGGGGCCTCCTTACACCATAACCTTATAGCTGCAGTTATAATACAGTGTGTGCGGGGAGACAGGGAACCTCCTTACACCATAACCTTATAGCTGCAGCTATAATACACGGTGTGCGAGGAGACACGGGACCTCCTTACACCATAACCTTATAGCTGCAGTTATAATACACTGTGTGCGGTGAGACAGGGGACCTCCTTACACCATAACCTTATAGCTGCAGTTATAATACACTGTGTGCGGGGAGACAGGGAACCTCCTTACACCATAACCTTATAGCTGCAGTTATAATACACGGTGTGCGAGGAGACACGGGACCTCCTTACACCATAACCTTATAGCTGTAGTTAAAATACACTGTGTGCGGTGAGACAGGGGACCTCCTTACACCATAACCTTATAGCTGCAGTTATAATACACTGTGTGCGGGGAGACAGGGGACCTCCTTACAGCATAACCTTATAGATGCAGTTATAATACACTGTGTGCGGGGAGACAGGGAACCTCCTTACACCATAACCTTATAGCTGCAGTTATAATACACTGTGGGCGGGGAGACAGGGGACTTCTTTACACCATAACTTATAGCTGCAGTTATAATACACTGTGTGCGGGGAGACAGGGGACCTCCTTACACCATAACCTTATAGCTGCAGTTATAATACACGGTGTGCGAAGAGACAGGGGACCTCCTTACACCATAACCTTATAGATACAGTTATAATACACTGTGAGTAAGGAGACAGGGTATCTCCTTACACCATAACCTTATAGCTGCAGTTATAATACACGGTGTGCGAGGAGACAGGGGACCTCCTTACACCATAACCTTATAGCTGCAGTTATAATACACTGTGTGCAGGGAGACAGTGGACCTCCTTACACCATAACCTTATAGCTGCAGTTATAATACACTGTGTGCTGGCAGACAGAGGATCTCCTTACACCATAACCTTATAGCTGCAGTTATAATACACTGTTTGCGGGGAGACAGGGAACCTCCTTACACCATAACCTTATAGCTGCAGTTATAATACACTGTGCGCGAGGAGACAGGGGACTTCCTTACACCATAACTTATATCTGCAGTTATAATACACTGTGTGCGGGGAGTCAGGGGACCTCTTTACACCATAACCTTATAGCTGCAGTTATAATACACTGTGTGCGAGGAGACAGGGGACCTCCTTA